ATCGGCGGCGTCGGCGACGCGTCGGCGCCGTCGATGTGGAGGAAATCGGGCCCCACATCGCACCGCATCGGCGATGCATCGTCGATGCGGCGCGATCCTCTGACACCCTCAACTCCGACCCCATCTGACCGACGAAAAGATTCGCGTCTTACGCGAGATGGCCTAGCGACCTTGCGCCGCAGTTTACGCGGGCCGCCTGCGCGGCACACCGCGGGGAACGAGGGCGCTTTCGCGCGACCCTTCGCGGGCAGCTTGCTACGCACAGACGTCGGCACAGTCGACGCCGTTCTATCTCGTCGCTCTGGGAGGCCCGGGGCAGTCGAGCACCCGGGGAGCGACAGGGCCGGGGCGGCGGCGGGGCGCTTCGGCCCCTGAGCCCCTGAGCCTCTCCATCGGAGCGGCGGCGTCGCGGCGGCTGGACGGCGCGCCCGGGACGAGCGGAGGGGCGACCGCGCACCCGCGCGCCCACCGAGAGCGGAGACGACGACGGCGACGACGACGACGACGACGACGACGCTGACACCCCTACCGACGACGACGACGACGACGACGACGACGACGACGACGACGACGACCACGACGACGACGACGACGACGACGACGACGACGACCACGACGACGACGACGACGACGACGACGACGACGACGACGACGACGACGGCGGCGGCGACGGCAACGACGACGGCGGCGGCAACGGCTGCGACGACCAACGGCGACGACTACGGACGGCGGTGGTCCGGGGCAACGTTGGGGGGGGACGAAGCTTCGAGGCTGGAGGTTCGAGTTTTTCGGGCGTTCCCGTACGTTCCCCAGCCTCGGGATACGCTAAAGCAGCTGCGACTCGCCGAAGGCGCTCCCGGGGTGCACGGATCGCGCCGAGCGGCCGACGGAGAGTGGAATGCTGACCAGAACACCAACGGGCTTACGCGAGGACGAGGATGGCGACTACGACAGCGGCGGCCACGGCGGCGACGCCAGATTCTGCATTCCGCCCATCATGCTCGACCCTGTCCCCATCTTGACAAGTCACCTGCACCAACCATGCAATCAAAGAAGGACAAAGTCGTAAACCAAGCGAGGGGGGCACGAATGGCAAGTCTGAGATTCGGCGCGCCTGAAAAGGGGACGGGATCAACGGGACGATGCCTGTCAGCAAACACTGACAACACCGACAGCGAACGCCGTTGAGCATGCGGCGACGTGAGTCCCAAACGGATAACGTCCGCAGCGACAACGACATCGAATCCTGTTCAAGGCGGCGAAAAACTGCTGTCGGCGTTTGGCTCCGTTCGTTTACACCCCCGCCTTGGCCCACCCAGGAGAGCGGGGGAATGGATGCGTCACCACAAATGCTCCAAGTCGTGCGCACTGCAGTCGTCGTGCTACCACAGGGAACGCATACTCAACCATATGCAGCTGTGCAAACCGCAATTGCAAATACCGTTTTCAATGGAGCTCCCTGTGGGGCCGCGAAACGTGTGAGTGGTGTGCCGAAATGAGTGAGGCGGACGCATGCGGGCGGTGGCTGGGGCATTCGGTGGAGCTCCATGTGGGGCCACGATACGTGTGAATGGTGTGCCGAAATTGGTGTGGCGGACGCATGCGGGCTGAGCCACTGGGACCTTCGGTGGAGCTCCCTATGAAGCCACGAAACGTGTGAGGGGCGTGCGCGGACATGGGTGTGGCGGACGCGTGCTGGCGGTGGGGCCTCCGGTGGAGCTCCCTATGGGGCCACGAAACGTGTGAGGGGTGCGCCGAAATTGGTGTGCGTGACGCATGCGGGCTGCGCCACTGGGACCTTCGGTGGAGCTCCCTATGGGGCCACGAAACGAGTGAGGGGTGTCTCCCTGTGGGGCCACGAAACGTGTGAGGGGTGCGCCGAAATGGGTGTGCGTGGCGCATCCGGGCTACGCCACTGGGACCTTCGGTGGAGTTCCCTATGGGGCCACGAAGCGTGTGAAGGGTGTGCCGAGATGGGTGTGCGTGACGCATGCGGGCTGCGCCACTGGGACTTTCGGTGGAGCTCCCTATGGGGCCACGCAACGCTGCACTGGGTGGGCGAAACGCAAGGAGGAAGGAGGAGGGGGAGGGGGGAGGAGGAAGGAGACGAGGGGACCGTCTCTTCAAAACGAGGACCCAACACCACTTTTTTGATCTGCAGGGCGAGAGCGAACCTCTTCCGCTGAAAGCTACGCGGGACGCGCACAGCTTTAATGGGCAGAGAAAGAGCGGGAGAAGGCGGGGCCTCAGGACCCAACACCACAGGATGGTTGGGAAATAGCGACACGCCTTTGCTGGCCACGGCGGGCCCGGGCCCAACAGGCTTCAGCACGCAAACTTCGCGAGCGGCCCGACAGCCCGAGCCCCTCCCGAGCCCAGCGCAGGCCTGACTCCGGCGCAGAGCACCCGAGCCCAGAGCAGCCCGACGCCCCGAGCCCCGAGCCCAGAGCCCGAGCCCCTCCCGAGCCTTCGCCGTGCAGAGGCCTCCTGGATGGGGTCGGCGTAGATGTGGTCGGAAGATCGCGCCGCATCGCCGATGCGTCGGCGATGCGTCGGTGATGCAAGGGCGATGCATCGCCGACGTCGGCGATGCAGCGGCGCCGTCGGCGCGAAGCCAATCGGGCCCCACACCGCGCCGCATCGGCGAGGCATCGGCGATGCGGCGCGAGCCTCCGACCCCGTCCGCTCCGACCCCATCCAGGGGGCCCAGACCGCAGGCGCCCGCGCGGCGCCCTGTCCACCCACCCCCCCCTTGGCGGGCCCGCAAGCGAGGCCACGCCCGCGCGGCAGCGCGGGTCCGCGCCCCGCTCAGGCAAACCCGGGCGACAGCGGGAGGCGGGGCGACGGCGGGCGAAGCGCAAGGGGCAACGACGGGGAGGCAGATGGGAGGACCCAAGAGGAGGACAGGATAGGGGACCAAACTCTATGCACACCGACGCCTGCTCCGGCCCTGCACCGAGGCTTGCACAGGGAAGCGGATCCTGGTGCAGGTGGGACCCTGGTGTGCCCACTTTTCGCTGTTTCCCCCGGGAAACGAGGAAAAGTATACACCACACCACCCCGACGTCGTCCCCGACCCTCCAACAGTCCTGGGATTGAAAAACAGCCCGCCACTGGTAGTGTATATGCCCCAGTTTCCGACCAAGGGGAGGATATGAGGGAGGGGAAGCAACACTAGTGAGATGGACGATCGCAGGCAGTCAAGGCCAAGAAGAGAAAAGAGTCATCCGTCTTCGACAACAACACCCTCGGCGGCGGCGGCAGGCTGGCGGACAGGCCTGCCTTGCAGCACTTGTCGAAGGCCCGCCGAGGATGAGGCGAACCCACGGGCGCGGCCGCAGGCGAGGAGGAGGCGGATGAGAAGAAGAAGAAGAAGAAGAAGGAGGAACGAACGAACGAACGAACGAACGAAACAACAAAAAGAGGAGGGCAAGCAAGCGGAAGAGCAGCGAGAGATTTGCGGCTTCAAGCGCGCCAGATTCCATTGTCGGCTCCTCCAGCGAAGGTTTGGGGAGGGCGCAGGCAGAAACGAGATGGAGACAGCGCAGACGACTCACGGCAGTCATGTACGCAACGGGGAGCGCCAAATACCACGGGCTGCAGAAGCCGTCAAACCAATTCCAAAACTCTCGGCGCGCTCGCCCCAGGCCTACACCACGAGCAGTGGCCCACCCTCACCACCTCCCTCTCCCGCCCTCCCTCGGCAAAGGGTGGTCCAGCACTGCACAGCACGGACGCCGAGCGTAGCGCCCGAGACCGCAGCTCTGTCGCACGTGGCCCCATCGGGGGAACCCCAGACCCCAAAACACTTGCCTCTCTCTCTCGGAGACACACTACCTTGCTTGCACTGGCTTCCGCCGAACCTCCGCCACCGAAGCCGCCACCGCGCCCCATGTCCCACCTGTGCAGTTTTTCACCTCCGATCCGTTCTTGACAGTCCCAGGGCCCGAAAACCGCCCCTGGAGGCCGAAAGAGGCAAAAGATACTCTGAAACCCAGCACCTCCAACAACCTCCCTCCTCCCTCCTGCTGGCCGGAAGCACTGCTGGGCCACCTCGAACACCCAGCTAGCTCCAAGCCCCATGTCCCCCCCGTGCGACCACGCATGTGCGGGCGCACCTGCGGTGCGGCGACACGCCCGCCTCTGACCCCGCGCGCGCGGTCACCAGCTGGCACCCGGTGCGAACGCGCGCGGGAAGCAGCGCTCGAGGTCGGCGGCGCTCGGAGGTGCGAAGGCGGACGGCGCGAGGGTCCAGCGAGGCCGCGCACGGCGACAGCACGGCTGAGAACCGGCCGAGCCGACCGCGAAGCCGAAACCGACCGACACCGACGTGCCGCAAGCAGCGCAGAAGGGCGTGGCGACGCAACCGACGACGACGAAGCCGAACTGGCCGAACCGCAGACACCTGTGCTGCGGGGCTCCTTCCAGGGCCCCAGATCTGGCCGAAACCTGCGGCCCCCCCCCCCGACGCCGACCCGTGCGTCCCGCAGACGACGGAGACCGACCGACACATGGCTGGCAGCCACGATGGCATCATCAGGAGAGCGGAGGGTGAAAGAGTCATCCGCGTGGGATCTGCTATCGTCTAGCTGAGCCAAGAGATCGGACCGTTTCTTACGTCGGAGCTCTCCCTTAGAGATTCAGCAGGAGCGAAGCGACGCGTGAGACATCCCAGGCTTCCTAACGAGGCGAAGCCCCTCCCCCGCAGAAGCACATGACCAAAGGGTCCCAGTGCAACTCCGCCAGCAGGAGCTCACGTGAAACGGGCGCGGAGCTGGTGATAGAAGGTCAAAAGCTTGCATCAACGTGGTCCGCGGGTCCGCGCGGCCTTCTTGGGTCGGAGATGGGCTCCCCTCCCCTTGCGCGCGAAGCGCGCCACAGATGGCGCAGGAGGCGCCACGAGAGGAGGTCCGGCACCGACCCAAGACATCCGCGCGGGTCTCCGACAGCTTGCGCTCATGCAGCTTTCGATGGTGGGGGCTCCAGCTTGCGCACGCCCCTCAGCGCCCGCACGGGGCCTGCGCCACAGCCCAAAGCACAAGAGCCATGGCGAAGGGTCGCCCACACTGACGGGACGCGCCCGAGCCCGCAGCGCGGGCCCTCCCCAGGGTCGTCGTCGACGTGGACGTCGCCGTCGTCGTCGACGATGTCAGGGACACCTCGACGCTGACGCTGAAGACGGAGACGTCGCCGGTGACGGCCGCCGAGATGCCGGGGACCGCGACGACCGCGACGGCCACGGCCTCGCGAAGCGTCGTGGACCCGGAGAGCGTGGCCTGCAGCAGCGGCGTCGACGCGCCCTGGGGCACGGCGATGGTGGCCTCCGCGAGCACAGAGCCAGGCGACAGCAGCAGCGACACGTCCTCCAGCACGAGGTCGACACCCGCGAGCAGGGACTCCTGCACGATGCTCTGCTTGACGGCATCCTCGAAGCCCAGCCGCAGCGACGAGTCCGCCAGCAGCGCGGAGTAGCTGACCCCGCCCACCGTCATGGTCAGCACGACAGACTCCTTGTCGGCCGCACTGAGCGTGGTGGAGCTCACCAGCGCGCTGTCGTCGAGGGGGACTGTCACGCCCACAGGGAAAGAGGCGCTCGTGGCGACCAGCAGATGCTGAGCCCCTTCGGGGATGGCCACCGCGTCCAGGGTGATCTGGTACAGGTCCAGCTGGCAGCACGCGGCACCGGCCGTACTGTGTTGCGGGCTGACCTGCGCCAGCGTCGCTCCCAGGGGCTCCCCGCAAGCGTCAGCGAAGTACACCCCGTAGGTGGCGACGCCCTCCTCGCTCACGCGCCCCAGCGCCGCCGCCGGGCCGAAGGAAAAAGTGCCGCCGAGGACGCCCTCCACCTCAGGTCAAGCAAAGGCTAACTATGTCAAGAGCAGGGGCCTTCAGAAACGCAGCGCAGGTGCACGTGCTGCGCGGGTCACACCAGAACTCAATGCACCCTTGAAATATCACGCGGGCAGCGGACCCGAGAGTTGAGCGTTCGGCACCTCACAGCACGGCACCACACAGCGTCACAAAGGCAACGGATCCGAGAGTTGAAGCACGGAAACCATTGGCGACACATGGCAAAACCGCTCTGCACCACGTGGCAACGGATCCGAGAGCTGGGCACACCATCGCACAAGGCACCACATGGCACCAGATGGCCCAACACAACACAACGGCGGGCAACGACCCCGAGAGCTGGACTTCCTCCACGCAGCCCCTGCCAACGCCAAGAAACACACCCGCACCGCTCGCTGTTCGGAGAAAAACCGGCTACTTTTGGACGAGCACCGCATCCAGCGTCAGAGAAGGACAAGGGGCTCCTGGGGGATGCGGGTCCTGGGCCCTGGGGCCTTCCCAAAAACCGTTGCTTCATCCTGCGTCGTCGCTTCCAGATTCCCATGCATCCGATGTCTTGAGTCGTTCCACACATAGTCCCCCGAAGTCCCGACCTTGTCTCCAGGGCCAGCTTGTCATCCTGAGACGTTTCTTGGGCGGCCACGGAGACAAAAAACGGCCCCCAGAACGCGACACGCTTGATAGAACACAACCAGACCCTCCCCCAAACAGAAAAAACACCTCGAACCTTCTGGGCTTTGCTCAGGGGAACAAAAAGTGACATGAACATAAAAACTCGGAGGTCCGCGCGGATTTCTCGGATCGGCGCTGGACCCCCCTCCCTGGCGCGCAGAGCGCGCCAGGGGCGGCGCCAGAGGCGCCGCCGGGGGGCCCCAGCGCCGATCCGAGAAATCCGCGCGGACCTCCGAGCTTTTGTGTTTACGTCACCTTTTGTTCCCCTATTGCTGCCCCTTGGGCCTCGTCGGTGTCGACGAACGGCGCGGCGCCACACGGCAGCACGGGCCAGCAGCCCGAGATCTGCGCCTCCGCCAGGCAGCCTGGGCCGGCGCCTCGGCAGTCGAGGACCGGCGCGCCGTCGTAGCCGTCCGCGCACCGCCACGCGGCCCCACTGGAGAGGCTGGCGTTGCCTCGATTGGGGGTCGGAGGATCGAGGGATCCGCGAAGGGGGGGCAGAATTGCCCATCGAGGGATCGAGGAGCAGGAGCAGGAGGAGGAGGAAAAGGAAAAGGAAGAGGAGGAGGAGGAGGAGGAGGAGGAGGAGAAGAAAAAGGATCGAAGGATCGTGGGATCGATCGAGGGATCAGAGGATCGATCGAGGGGTCAATCGAGGGAAATGCCCAACCATACGCAGGGTGCAGGGGGACCTGCGCGAAACTGCTGCTGCTGCACTGGGAAAGACACAGCCGAGCACGCAGACAAAGCTGCCAAGCTGCTGAGCCCACTGCCGCTTGGGGAGGAGGGGAGGGAGAACGACGACAAGGACGACGACGAGAGGGACGAGGAGGGATAGGGGGAGGTAAGGAGGGGGGCAGGGGGGAACGAAGAGTGGACACTCCCCCGCTCCCCCAAGCTCAAAGCTGGCACGCGCGGGGGGGGGGACCGCGGTCGAAGCGGAACTCATCAGACCCACCGCCAACTTGAACCATCGGGGGGAGGGGGAGGCGTCGACCGATGAATGTGGCATGCGAGTTCGCTGTTTTTGTTCGTCCCCGAGGCCGGCAGCACCAGGGGGCCACAGCGCGAAAAAATGCGATGTCGGAGGAGCGGAGCCTGGGGCCACCCCACCCTCCAGGACATCCGACGATGTGGTTAGCTTCACTCCGCCCGGGCCCTAAAGAGTTCCCAGGGCGAAGCCTGAAAACGACCCCTGGAGACTGAAATCCAGAAAACAACTATACGCATAGTTGGCGCGGAACGCGCATCTCCCTGCGGGGCCGCAACAGCATCGCTGGAGTGGCGCACTCCTACGGTCGCGACCCGGGCGGCTTCCAGATAGTGTAGTTGAGCGTTCCCAGAAGAGGGTGCGACGCCGCTCGTGGCCGCCCCGACCGCTGGAGGAACCCCCGCAGACACAGCGGCGCCAGATCCAGTGTGGACTCGGGGGCGCTGCTCACAAGAGACTCTTCTCCCGCGACGCCCCCGTCGGCGAAGCCGCCGACCCCGTCGGGCCTGAGAAGCCCCGGGGGCGCAGGGAGCGGCGGCGGGACCAACGGTGGCGGGAGCGAAGGGCGCGCTGGGCGAGCATCGCTTGAAGGCCCTCTGGGGGATGCGAACGCACGCCGCCGCGTCGGCGAACAGCCGCGGCGCCTCGAGGCGGGCTCCGCACGGATCGGCGCCGGCCGTCCATGGGGGGAGCCACAGCCTCGGCCGCGTTCGCAGCCAGCAGGCGCTGGATCTCCAACCGGACTTCCGTACGAGTCATTGGTGCCCCCTCGCCCAGGGCCGCAGCGATGGCTCGCCCCGCCGGCGGACGGACCGTGGCAACCCATGGCTTCGGCTGCGCGCTCAGGCGGCTTCGCGCCGACACGGGTGGCACCCCCGTGGGCGGCGGAGCCCGCGCCGGGATGGGAGGGAGGTCGTCGACCGCGACGTCCTCATCTGGGCCGTCCGCCCCGAACTCGTCCGCAGACTGGTGCGGGGCAGTCCTCTCGGCGCCTGGAGCGGCCTCGTCCCCGTCGACGGCCGCCGCGCCACAGATGGCTAAGTAGCCATCGCGAAGGGAGAAGACCCCCGCTGGGTGCGGCCAAGACGCACGGCCGCGGGCGGACCCGAACGGGACAAGCCCGTCGCTGTCCTCCTCGTGCAGCGGGTTGAGAGCCTCGAGATCCATCTCCGAGACGTTCAGGTCGACCACCAACACGGAAGCGGTGGTGATCAGCGGGCGAGATGCCGCGCCGAGCAAAAGGCAAATTGACCACCAGAAAGGGCCCCATCGGCCCCGCGAATCCCGCCAGACGGAGGCTGTCGGCCGAGCGGAAGGACCCGGGCAGCGCCAGCAGGATACCCCCGGGCCGATCGCGGCGCAGCCTGCCTCGCCCTCGCCCGAGCGCCAGCCGTCGTGCCTGGTGGCCGACGGCGCAGTGCACGGCAGGTCCCTGCCGACCTACCAGACCACCCCAACCCAACCCGAAGACCCGAATTTCGGGTTGGGGGGGGTGTACGGGTTCCATTGTGGTTTCTCAGTGTTCCCCGACCCCCCCCCCCACTGGAAATGGAGGGCAAATCGAGGCCTTCGGGTTGGGTTGAGGTGGTCTGGTAGGTGGTGAGCCCCCCATCCGCCGGGGCGGCGGCTGCCGCTGCCGGCAGCGCGCGCCGCGTGCCGCTGTGACGCGCGGGCCACCCGGGAAGCCTGGCCCCGGGGCGGGGCAACGGGCGCGGGCCCTGCGGCGGGGGCCCGCGCGCGCTCCTCGGCCCGGGCTCCTGGGCCGTCAGCCCGGGCGCGCCGCGCGCCGCGGCCGTGCCGGCTCCGATCGCGGACCGCGCGGGGGCGGAGGCGCCGAGGTCCCAGCAGGGGGGGCGCGAGGGCCCCGACGCAGCAGCCCCCGCAGAGGCTGCAGGCGGCCGTGGCGCCGAGGAGGGCCCCAAGCGTCGAGAGCAGCACGGGGGTGACCACGCTGCTCGGGTCCAGCAGCCCCAGCCAGGCGGTGAGGGAGGCGCGCCCCAGGCGGCAGGGGGGCACTGCCCACCGCCGCTAGGGTCGGCCTGTGCGGACCACGGCGACCCCGCAGAGGAGGCGCCCAGGTCCGCGAGCGAGGGAAGAGGTTGGCTCACGAGCCGCTCGTAGAGCGCGGCTCGCTGACCTCGGAACAGCAGCTCGCCCGCCCCTTCAATCGACGCCTGAACGAACGCCTGCATAAGGTGCCCGCCGAAGGGGACCGCGAGGAGGGGTTTGGGCCGAGATGCCGCAAAGCACTGAGGAACGCACGGACAAGGGATAATACGAGAGAGCAGCAAGAAAAATCCGCCGACCCTGTCGGCGTGTGGAAGACGCATCCCGGTGTCGTCGTCTTGCGTGGATCACCGTCGTCGTCGTCGTCGTCGTCGTCTCCGTCGTGTCCTCGTCGTCTCTGTCTCCGTTGTCCCTCGTCGTCTTCGTCGTTCCCCGTCTCCTTGAGCGCGCGAGCCAAAGCGACATTGAGCAACGTCGTAGTTGAGTCGTGGCGAAGCCCCTCCCTACCCTCCCCGCCGGGGGGGGGGGGGGGTCGCCGGGGGGGGTCGCCACCCAGATACGCATCCTCCCCGGGGGGTCCCGGAGCTCAGAAAAGCTTCAAGACGAGCCAAGAGCGACAGAAGACACCCCCAAAAGGGTACAAGAGGGCCTCGACTCGACGAACGATGGCCCCAAGACGCCCAAGGCGGCCCGAAGACGGCCCAAGAGGCCCTCAAGACGCTCCAAGAGAGCCCCAAGAGCACTCCCAAGATGGCCCCAGGCGCCAAAATCGTCAATTTTACATCGCTTTTTGAATGATTTTGGCCTTCTCGCCTTTCCGGCTTTCCGACACTCCAAGACGGCCAAGAGGCCCCCAAGAGGCCCCCAAGAGCGCCCCAAGAGGCCTACAAGAGGGCCCCAAGACGGCCCAAGAAGGCCCCAGGACAGCCTAAGAGGCGCCCAAGACGGCCCAATAGGGCCCCAAGACGGGCCCAAGAAACGGCCAAGAGGGGGACGAGGAACCGAGAATTCGAGACTTCCGCCCTAAGAGGCCCCCGGGAAGCCCCAAGAGGCCCCCAAAAGGCCCCAAGAGGCCCCCGAGCGGCGCCAAGACGCCCCCAAGATGCGCCGAAGACGGCCTCCGGAAGCCCCAAGAGGCCCAAAAGAGGCCCCAAGAGGCCCCACAACGGCCCCCAAGAGGCTTCAAGTTGCCTTCCAGACGCCCCCGAGAGGTCAACCACGAGATCCCAACCAACATCCATAAGGCCTCCTCCTCCTCCCCCTTCACCCTTCCTCCTCCTACTCCCTTCCGCCTCCTCCTCCTCCTCCTCCTCCTCCTCCTGCCCCCCCCCTCGTGTTGTCTTTCGGCATCTTCAGGGTCGGCGGCAACGGCCGTAAGGCCTTCGCAATAATGGCATCAACAACAATATGCAGGAGAAGAAGAACAACAACAATAACAAGAACAAGAAGGATTATAATAAAACTACATCAACATAAACGGTCGGAGGTCCGAGCAGATATCTTGGATCGGCGCTGGACGGGCCAGGGGGGGCGTTCCAAGAAATCCGCGCGGAGTTCCGAAAGGCCACGGTGATGCCACCGTTTGTTTTGTCGAAGTTGGTCCCCCCACCGCCTGGGTTGGCCACGGCGTAGCCCGGAGGGGCGCTGCTCGGGCCCGGACAAGAGCACCGCGGCGCAGACCACAAGATGGTCTGCGACGGGTCGGTGTTGCCGGCCGGGCACGCCGCAGTGGTGGGCGCGCCAGCGTAGGGCGCTGCGCAGCGGAGATTGCAGGATCCCCCAGCAGCGAGACCTGTTCCCATAGAGGGACAAAACGTGATGTGAACATGCTAGCCAGCGTAGACACCAAACAATGTGTACGCGTGTTCTAACAATCCATGTTGTGCAATTTCTGTGGTGCAATCTGCGTTGTGCAATCTACGTGGCGCAATCTACGTGGTGCAATCCACTTCGACTGTCTTGAAGCTGTCCTCTCCACTGCTCGTGCAAACATCCCACCCTCCCACCCGCAACTTGGTCGCAAGACATCTTCAGACAAGACCGTGACGGTAGGTACTGCGTGGCACTTGGCCACGACACCGATGCCGACGACGACAGCGACATCGACGACGACGGCGCCGCCGACAGCGACTGCGACGACACCGACGACGTCTCCAATGTTTTCGACGACGACAACGACGACGACGACACCGACGACGACGACAACGACGCCGACGACGACGACGAAGACGACGACGACGTCGCCAACGGAGACGACGACGAGGGAGGAGAAAAAACGACGACGGCGACAACGACGACAACGACGATGGAGGAGGGAAGACGGCGACGACGCCAACGACGAAAAAGGAGGAAGGACGGCGACGCCGACGACGACAACGACGAGGGAGGAGGGAAGACGACGACGATGACAACGACGACGAAGACGACGACGACGGCGACGAAATAGGAGGGACGACGACGAGACGCCGACGACGGACGACGACGACGAGGGAGGAGGATAACGACGAGGGAGGAGTGAAGACCACGACGACGACGACGACGACGACGGCGACGAAATAGGAGGGACAACGACGAGACGCCGACGAAGACAACGAGGGAGGAAGGACGACCACGGCGACAACGACGACGGAAACGACGACGACGCCAAAGACGACGAGGAAAGACAGAAGACGACGACGGCGACGACGACGACGACGACGACGAGGGAGGAGGGAGGACGACGACGACGACGACGACGCAAGAGCGCGCGCACACAATTTTGTTGAAAACCCGTGTTGCGAAACCTTGTGTTTTTGTAGGTTTTTTGGACGCACGTTTTCGACATTCTTCCGAAACCGAAGGTTCTTGAAGGATCTCGGCATACGCCCGCGACGACGCGCGCGTCTGCACTTCGTCCTGTTTTTTGCAGAAGATTCTCGCGACGGCACACGCGCAAGAGCGTTCGACAGATTTCGACATGCGCGCGCGCGAAGCCCGTTGGGTAGCATGTTGCGAAAATCTTGGAAAACCTATGGTTTTCTTAAGATTTCGCAAGAGCTCGCGCGTAAGTTTTTTGTTTTGAATCAATGTTGCGAAACCATGTGTTTTTATATGTTTTTTGGAAATTCAATTTTGAAATCTCTCCGGAACCGAAGGTTTTTGAAGGATTTCGGCATGCGCGCGCCACGACGCGCGCGCGTGCACTTCGTCCCATTTGTTGCAAGGGATTCGTGAAAAAAATGATATGTTAGAACAAAACATGTCACCGCATAGTGTTTTTTTTACAAGGGACCCGCAGGGGGGGGGAACCCGGCTTGGCTGGGATGGTATGAATTCATATTTAGGATGGACATGTGGCCAGAATCATATGTAATGTACAGCACGCGCGGGGTAACCGATAAGTCCGGAGGGGGGGGGTAGAATCTATTAGTCTTTTAGAAAGGAGAATCTACGCGGTGCCATCTATGTGGCTCAATCTGCGTGGTGCTTTCACCCTGCCGCCAGCCGAACTTGAAATTGACAACTCTACCGCTCGCGCAATGGCCCCACCCAACCACCCACCCGCAAGTTGGCTTGCAAAACACATGCGGCGGCGAGTGCGATTACTACTTGGCGTTGGCTGGCGCTTCGCTGCGGCCGCGTTAGCGCGCGCATGCGCGCTCGCAGAGCGGCCTGCTAGGTTGACGCGACCGACGCGGCCGCGCTGGTGCTGACCGCCGGGGGCTTCCCAGCGCGTCTCGCAGGTCGCGCTGACGCGCGGCCTTTTCACTGCGAGTCGGTGACCCAGGCGGGCGCGGTATCATGCGCGCGCGACGACGCGCGCTTGTCGACGACGTCGCTTCCTGTGCGCGTGCGCATGTATGCGTTGTACAACCCGCGCGACGCAAACGATGCGATTGAATATACATGGTACAAACCATGCGGTGCAGCCTGATAGGTGCAATGCACTTGCCGAACTTGAAGTTGCCCACTCCAGCGCTCGCGAAAGCATCCCACCCACCCACCCGCAACTTGCTTTGCGCAAAAAAAAAAAACAAAACAAAACAAAAAAAAAAAAAAAACCTGCGGCGGGAATTGCGATGAGTGCTTGGCGTTGGCTGGTGCATCTCTGCGGCCGCGCTAGCCCGCGCATGCTCGCGCGCGCAGCAGCCAGCTACTTCGGCGAAACCGACGCGAAAGCGGTGGCGCTGACCGCTCGGCACATCCCAGCGGGCACTTCAGTGCGAGTCGGCGTCTTGGTCGGGCGCGGTATCATGGCCACGTCGACAACGGTAGACTCGATGCTGAGAGCAGCGATGCTGGCGACGATGCTGACAGCGACGGCGGGGCAGCCAGTGACGGCGCCAATGCTGATCACGCCGACGACGATGACGGCGTCGTCGCGTCGGCGATGCAGGTTTTGCGAGGAGTTCGACATGCGCGCGCGGCAGACTCGCGAGAATGGCCCGCATGGTGTTATTTGACACGGATCGACCCCCCCCCCCCCCAGACGCGCGCAAGGGCGGTCGAACGATTTCGACATGCGCGCGCGCGAAGCCCAAATTGGTAGCATTGTCTGAAGATGTTGAAAACCGCTGTTCTTTTTAATTGTTGTATACTTTGTGGGAGAAGAAGAAGAGAGACCCCCAAAAAAAACAAACTTGTTTGTGAAAACCAGCGTTGCGAAACCATGTGTTTTGGCATGGCGTTTGATAGCTCGATTTTGAAACTCTCGTTGAAACGGTGAAACCGAAAGTCCCAAAAAGCTTCCGGCATGCGCGCGCGACGACGCACGCGCGTGCACTTTGTCCCATCTGTCGCAAGGGGTTCTTGATGATTTATGACGTTGGGTAAACGAGAGCGCGCGCATCACATGTTGTGCAAAGAATTCGAATTCTATATATAAAACTCTGACTTTCTTGCGAATTCGCAAGAGCGCACGCGCAAGCTTTCCTTGAAAACTGATGTCGCGAAACCTGGTGTTTTTACCATGTGATTTTGACATTCGGTTCTGAAATCGCTACGGATCCGAAGGCGTTTGAACGATTCCAGCACGCACACGCGACAGCGCGCGCGCGTACACATCGCCCCGTTCATTGCAAAGGATTCTCGCGACGGCACGCGCGCGAAGGGCGTTCGAACGATTCCGACATGAGCGCGCGCGACGCCCGTTCGGTAGCATTTTTGGGACACGTTGAAACACCTTTGGCGGTCTGAAGGATTCGCAAGAACGCGCGCGCAAGCTTTCTTTGAAAATCAGCGTTGCGAAACCATTGACACCATGTGTGTGCATGTTTCTTGAACGCTCGATTTTGAAATCTTCTTGAAACCGAAAAAATGCGCTGGTTTTCGGCGCGCGCGCGACAACGCGCGCGCGCACTTCGCCCCGTTTGCAGCAAATGGTTCTCGCGACGGCACGCGCGCGAAGGGCGCTCGAACGATTTCGACGCGCGCGCGCGAAGCCCGTTCGGTAGTGTGCTCTGAAAATCTCGAAGAAACTACGGATGCTATGAATTCGCAAGGGGTCGCGCGCAAGTTTTTTTTTGAAATCAGCGCTGCGAAACCACGCGCTTGATACATATATTTATATACACGCAGACATACATATATATGTGTGTATATATACACAAATATAGAGATACACACATATACACATATATATATATATACACATAGGCACATGTGCATACATGTCGGAGACTCGATGTGGAAATCCTCCCGAAGCCGAAGGTTCGCGATGAATTCCGGCACGCGCGCGCGACGACGCGCGCGCGCACTTCCTTCTTCTTGCAGAAAGGGTTCTTGGAAAACGGATGATTTGTGATAAACGAGCGCGCGCGCATAGCAGCTTTTGCAGGAGATGGCGGCGAGAAGGGTCGATGCAAGCCCGGCCAGGGCGGCGCGAGTTCAAATGTGGGATGGGCGGCGGGGCAGAACCACATGCAACTGGCATTACGAAAAAGTGGGCCGAAAAACCCGAGGGGGAAAGGCCCGACTTTCTGAAAAGGGAGGAGGATCTACGATGCGCAGTCTACGGTGCAATCCACTCTGCTGAACTTGAAGTCGCCACCTCCACTGCTCGCGCAAACGCCCCGCCCTCCCACCCGCAACTTGTTTGGCAGAACTCATGAAGCGGGGGGCGGCGGCGCCACCTCTTGCGACATCGATGATAACATCCTCGCTGCCGATGCTCGCCACCGCGAGTCGACGACGAAGGTGGGCACATCGACGATACTCGGACGTGCGCGATGACAAGATGACGCCGGCAACGTCTGCGACAATGACGAAGTTAGCACCAGCGACGACGGCGTTCAAGAGGGCGACGGCACGAACGATAAGGGCGCCAACGATGGCAAACACATTGACCATGCTGATGTCCATCTGTCGATAAGGCAGGTGATCGCGGCGATGCTGACAAGGTCGAGAAGAAAATCCGCGCGCGCGAGAGTTCAACGAATCCGTCAGACCGATCATGCGCGCGCGGCGGCGATGGCATGTGGCCCGCGCGGTATTTCTCGCAAGGGGCTCGCGCCCTCGGCGCATGACAGGAGTATCGCGCGCGCACCGCGCGGTGACATGCAATCGCTGGATTTGGCAGAATGCAAAGGACCCCATGGTTTTTGCATGATTTTAGCATGAGCGCGCGGACAGGATATTTCCATCATTCGCCTTGCAAAACCGTTGGGTTTCTAGGTTTTCATGCTGAGGCGCTTGAAAACACAATGTGTTTGGTACGGTTTTGACATGGACGCGCGCGCGATGACTTTGATATATTTGTTGCAAGGCCTCATTGAAATTTGCTTTCTCCAGATGAAGAACTGCGCGCGCAAGATA